TGCCGTGTCCAGGCGGAAAGATGGAGAGGAGCAGGGACCAAGGTGGGGAAGAAACCGCAGCGTGGATGGTGGCCATGAGAGGAAGCAAGGAGAGAAGGGCCTGAACAAAGGCAAACGCAAACCAAAGGTGGTCAAGGCAGGAGGAAAGGAAAATTGTAATTAATATAGTGAAAGCCCCGTAGTCACAAAAAACCACCCCAGGGCCAGCTTCAGCTTCTGCTGGAGGCCGGGTGCCTGCCCCACGTTGCAGTGAAACAGCAGTCGGGAGCAGCGGAGGCACTCGTAGGGGGGTGATGGGGAAGACCGTGTGAGCGTAAGAGGTGTGCGAAGGGATGCTGGTGCAGCCAGGGAAAGTGAATCACTCTACCAGGTTGAACTGATACTAAGGGGAAAAAATATGAGTTGCCATGGGTGGGGAGCAAATGTCCTGTCAGTCTTTCCAGAGAGGTTCCCGTGCCGTGTGGGGAAGGGCTGGGAGGGGAGAGGGGATGTGCTGCCGCTCCCAGCGTTAATTATTACCCAGCAGGTTGAGGTGGAAGTGGCTGGTAGGGGCCATCCATGTTGTATTCAGTTTGCTTTTCTGGAGTTCGTAACTCCTCCCATCGGAGGGCATCCAGCTCTGCTTTAAATTCCTACTTGTGGGTATGCCCAGATGGAAAACACCCTAAAACTTTTGCTAGTAAGTAGCGGAGGAAAGGAGGCTCCAGATCCTCAGTGCGGGCTGCTGACTTTAGGGCACTAGATGTGGCAGACTCAGAGCCGTGGGCGTGCGAGAAGAGGAGGGACATGCGTCAGGGTGCCGAGAGACTGCGGCTTAGACAGTAAAGTTGAGTGCTTCAGGCCATGGTGTAACATAAAGAGAGCTGCACTCCTGGCACCCTTGCAGGGTACGGGCTCAGGTCATCCGTCCTGGGCTTCCCCCGCTGATAACTTGCTTTCCTTCACGGGGGATAAACACCTGCATCTTACACGGATGCTGCGTGCAAGCTCTTGGGCTCGTGGTGGCCACCTTTCACACCAGCAAAGTCTGGTCTTGTCTGCGTCCCTTGTCCCGGCTCCCCGGGAACCTGGGGGAGCGGTTCACCGCTCAGGACCACAGAGTTTGTAAATACAGACTGTGACCCGAACGTACAGCTCCGCTTGCCCCGAACCATCAAAGCAGCGTTCAGTGCTGTCAGCAAAGCCTGCCTTCCCGTGCTGTGAATGCACTCATCTCCAAAAAGCTTAGAGCGGCAGAAAAGACTTCTGTTCCCTAAGCCAGTGTAGTAGAGCTGTGTATTTTTTAAATGCTGAATTAAAATAAACAGTGCTGCACTCAACAGTCTGCCTGGCTGTATTGTGGGGACAGTTCCTGTAATTCTGTGTGCCCTTGGGGTATCTGACATAGGTAGTCAAGAGTCTTCAGAGGAAGGCTGTTGAGAGGAATGCAAAACATTAATCGCCTTGCTCAGACACTCTGCCCTGGCTTGCCTGTGTGACACTCAACAGAAACCTCCCCTAAAGAAATAGGTCCCTTCACTAATAGCCGACCTGTAAGTTGTTGCTGCTCAGCACTCTGTGCTGCAACAAGAGATGGGATTGTCCAGCAGGTAGGGCAAATTTTTATTTTACAAAATAAACTACAGATCATTTGAAGGAAAGATGTTTGGGAGAAGGCTGTGCTTCCCTGCTGAGCTGGATCTGGGGCTGTCCTGGTGGGACTGCTGCAGCGCGACTGATGATAATCCCTTCTACTTCTCTTTAATCACCCCGGCTGCAGGGAGGTGCAGAAAGCCGTGAACACTGCCCAGGGGCTCTTCCAGAGGTGGACAGAGCTCTTGCAAGATCCCTCCATCGCCACAAGAGAAGAAATCGACTGGACCACTAATGAGCTCAGGAACAACCTGCGAAGCATTGAGTGGGACCTGGAAGACTTGGATGAAACAATTAATATCCTTTCTGTGGTCCTTTGGAGGTAGGGGCGTGCGGTTCCCGAGTTACACTAAATAGCCGAGTACCAGTGCTTGCCCGTAGTTACTTTTTACCGAAACCAGGACTATTTGGGATTGAATTTTGCATTTACATCGGCTTTTCTCAAACTGCAAATGAGAAATTAAGGCAAATGTTCTCAACAAAAGGATTTTCCTTTTGCCTTTTTGTTTTCTTTTTTGACAAGGTATATTCTAAGATGCTTTGTTCTAGAAAGCCTATTGTGTTGTATGAATTTAGATTTCTGCGCAGTCAGTCGTACTCTAGGCTGGCTTCCAGAAATACTCCTTTTCCCTTGTGTTCATCTGAACGCTCCTGAAAGCGCTGCGCAGCATCAGAGAACCAAAAAAATGCAAGAAAGAAACCTCACACTGGTGCGTGTACTTCGCAGTACGTTCCTGCCATGCCTGTTTTTTCCTCCAGTGTTTTGTACTTTGCTAATCAAGTTGTGGGAAAAGGCACAGGCACTTGGTGGATCCCCCTGCTGCAGCATGCTCAGGGTGTGAGTATCTGTGTGCATACCCAACACCACTCATGGGGACTCCTTGACTCACTGCCTACGCATTGTTGAGGCAAACCCACGGAAATTCAACCTCGATGCGACGGAGCTGGGTATCAGGAAAGCCTTCATCACGAGCACGCGGCAGGTGGTCCGGGTAAGGAATGTGGGCTTGGGGTGGGAGCATGAGGAGGCAGGGGGAGTGATTAGGTGGTTAAAAAAAGGAAAGCTTGTGGCCATTTCCATGCTGAACTGGAGAGCAGAGAATAAACCTGCTACCTGCTCTATCTCTCGGGCTTCCTCCTCTTCCCCATGCCTTCTCTCCTGGGGCTGCGAAGGTGCGGGTACCCCATGGCATACCCTCCTCTTCTGCTGCTGCTCCTTTAAGTCTTCACACCTGTCTTGCAACAGCGAGCCTGGGAACCTATAGAAATGGGGAAGGAAGAGTAAAGACCCCGCTGCGATGCATGGGAGGCTGGAGCCTCCCTTCAGAGTTGAAGGAAATCATGACTGTCCTGTGCTTTTGTAGCCTGGTTTTCAAAAACAGAGTCCACTTTGAACACTGACAGATGGTTAAAGCCTAGCATTATTGACATGGTGACTTCAACTTCCTACCGCTACAAAATAGCCCAAACAACCACTAGATTTATTTTTAACTTGGGGAAGATCTTTTTTTTTTTTTTTTTACTTTAAGCTCACACTTCAGAAGCAAAAGGAGGATTTTAACAACTTGATGGTAATAAATAGAGAAGAGGCATCTTCCCAAAAGCTTCACTGCCTGGTAACAAGCTGCTGGTCAGGAAGTTTTCTCCCTATTAATAGCCACACTGAGCGTAGCTTAGTTTCTGCTGCCCCTCATGACTCTGATGTTCCTGCTTCGCAAAATACATTGCTGTGGCTGGCAGCAAGCTTGTTACCCTACCTGCAGTCCTGTGGTCTGGATGCAGTTCCTAAAGCTTGCTGTCTGGGAACTGATCCCGAAACCACGCTGGTCCTGGGTAGCAGGCATGTGCTCTCTCTCCCTTCCCCTCGGTGTAGTCCACTCCCAAACAGGCAGGATCAGGCAAGCCTGCTCTATGGTCCTCTTTTCGTGGCTGAAAACTGCTGGCTAATGGGTTTTGGAGAAGCTGTTAAATGAAATTCGTTAGTGGCATTATGCGGCTGACTTCCAGTTTCCGTGGAGGAATTTGCAATCCACAGCAGCATGTGCGTTAGCTGGTGAGATGCAACCAAGCAGGATCTGGTGCTCTTAGGTGATGTATTGCACATCTCTGAACCGTAAAACATACCTAAAGGTTCTGGTGACATCTGAACTCTGCTGGTGGATCAACCTCTGCTAGATCGTATTGGCTACTTGCTAATCTACCCTATAAAAACTAGACTAAGTTGTGATGGGGAGCCTTCTGTAGCTAGTGATCTTCTGCAGGAACCGAGCAGCAAAACTTAATTGATAAAAGAGAAAACGTAGGCACAGTCAGAGAGGATGCCCACAGGACAGGAAATCTATCTCGTCCTGTGCAATAAAGAACCAGATGCAACTGGGAATCAATGGCAGGGGATTACAGGCTTCCAAGACCTTGAAGAACATAACTCTTCCTTACAGTCTATCAATGGGAACATTAGTTTAATATTATACAAATCAACATGTTTCTGGCTGTAGTGGAGCAAAATGAGTAGTAAATAAGGAGTATTTTCAAAATATCCCCTTGCCGTTGATTCTACTATTAGTAAAACAATGAACTGCGATGAAGGTTTCTACAATGTCCTTCCAGACTCTTCAAAACCACACGTTTTCAAAGAAAATCTCCCTTCCCTCACTCCCCCTAAAGAAGCCTTGCCTGGTATAGACAGCCCTGTAGCATCCTGAAACTGCCTGTCACCTCAAATCCAATGCTCACGTACTTCTTTCTTTGAACAAACAGGAAATGAAGGATCAGATGTCAAACTCCTCCATGCAAGCACTGGCTGAAAGGAAGAACAGGCAGGTGAGAACCAGAAACGGGCAAGTGAAGTGAATGGAGTGGCTGTTTGGTACTTTGAGGAGTGAGGAGGATTTATCAGCTCTGGCAGCTGTTGTCTTAAGGTATGTGTTAGGTGAAACTTCCATTTTCACTTACTCCAAGGCCCCACGTCATAAGGTAGAGTGTATAGCGCTGATGAAAACTGCGTAAAAGCGGTAATTACAATATATATCCTGTCTGTAGTTCATCCCGTTAAAAACCTTTGTTCTGGGAAGGGGCTCGCATGCTGCAGCAACGCTGTGTGTTTGAACCGTGTCTGTTTTGCTGACCTGAGAGAGCTGGTTCTCGATGGCACGTCGCCGCTACCCTCTTCCAAGCCTGTCTCTCAAAGTATTAAGTCAGCACCCACCATCTGTCTCTGTCTTCAGATCTGGTTGTGTACAACTGTCAGTGTTGCATCATCCTGCAGAAAGGGGAATCTGCCTCCTCCTCCAAGGGAACAGACTTAGAATCCATGTCAGTGAATGTAATCCTGCGCTCTGCTGTATTTAGGAGCCAAGATGCTGCAATATCCTTTCACGCAGCTGCCTCGTAATAGTTAGCTGTGTAAGAACATGGAAGAAGCTCAAGGAGTCTCAGGTTGTCTGCATTTGTAATCTAAGGAATAGAAATAGATGCAGCTTGTGCTCCTTCCCAGCTGTAAGGAGATCTCAGAGCTGACTTCCAGAGCTGCCTCAGTAAAAGTTGGTGTGCATTTCGTACCATTAACTTACCTGGCTGCATCAGTCGTACCACTGGTGGCAAAAATGACAAACTGCAACAAGCTACTGAGAAGCACAGAGCTGATTCCTGAGCTTGTTACGGCGTTAATTGACGTGCCTGGCAAACACTTGAAGAAGCAAAGTCCCTTACACCCTTGCTCAAACAGGTCTGTAGCCGTCTCTGCGTTTTGCTGCTTTCCTTTGCACGAAGTTCCTGCTAGCTGCAGGAGACCATATGGCCCAGCTTGCGTGGCAACATCTGGTCAGGAAAACTGACTTCCCCTTGCCGCCTTCCTCTCACTTCCCCAGCCCTTCGCCTTCCCTCCAGACGGCGAAGCTCGTGCTGGGCTGGGCTGCAGCAGCTTTTCCAACGTGTCCGAGAGCCTGGCCGGTGCTGACCTGACGCTCACAGGCAAAGGCTGGCAAACAGAGGCTTTTCTACTAAAGCTGCAGCAAAACTAGTGCACTGCGTTAAAAAAAAACAGTAGCTGCGCTTGCCATGAACTGGAAAGAACCAGGAGCTTGCTCTGTGTCTCAGGGGCAGACAAAGCCAGATGTCCTGCTGGCTTCTTGCACGGTCGGTCAGCTTTCCTGACCCCTCCTTGAACCTTGTAAGGCAGGTGAACCGTAGAGACCGTCTTGTTTTTAGCCTGCCAGAGCAGCCAGCCCCTTGTCTTGCTGTTCTTCACAAATACTCAGTTGTCCCCTCCTGCCCACCACCAGAAACTGCGAGACGATCTCGTTACGAGTAGTGCTGCAGGGTGCACGTTGATTCTCCAGCATCTGTTGCTCGTGTTATACCCCTTCCAGGGACCAGATTTAACTCAGCAGAAGAGCCACATCTCTGCTGGCTTTGCGCAAGCTTCTCCGTTTGGGTTGTAGAGCAGGTAGCAAGTGTAATCTTGTGTGCTGGGAGCTGAACGATATGCTGGAGGAACAGGTAGCCTAAATCAAAGAACATGAGCATTTGACACTGCTGTGGTTATATATTGCACTATTTTAGTGTCAGCTCAACTGGTTAAGTACTTTATCCGGACCCTCTTAAGCCCCTGTTCAAGCTATATGTTCACACAATATATCCAGATACTTCCCAGCTGATGTGGCCTAGCACACGGTGCTGCCTCTTGAGCAGACCTTTGCTAGTTCTTTGTGCTGGGCAGACCTCCCGTGTACACTGTCTGGCGGTCGTACTCCAGCTCTCCTGCCGCTGGAGAGGCATGTCTGCAATATCAGGCTGCAAAGACTTTCCGGGTATTGCGTTAGTTTAGTGCCTGGCAGCACTCGGGCTGAGTAGCAACAGAGCAGGAGGAAAAAGATGCTGTATGCACGTGTACAGGAGTATTGCCTCGTCTGCCTTCCCACTACACCCTGTAGACGGGCTGTGAGCAGACACAGGGGTGTTGCTAAGGGTTCTTTGCATCTGTTTAGGCGCTCCTGGGAGAAAGTGGGAGTCAGAGTTGGAGCTCTGGACCTGACAAATACAGCCGTCTGGACCGGGACCTGCAATTAGCAAATTCACACTTCATCGAGGAGCAGCAAGCTCAACAACAGGTAAGGCAGCTGGCACCGTGCAGACTAAATAACTTTGCTTGCCAGATGGGTGCCAGGAGAATGAGGTATGGGCTGCAAAAGCCAAAAAAAAATCCAGTCCTGGTCTGGATCCAGAAGCCTGACAGCCCTCCTCTTTGCTTGCAGCATATATCTGTGCATGCATTTCCTTTACAGTACAGCTTTGGATGCATCTTGACGCAGAGTTTTTAACCATTGAGGCTTGGGTCTTCTGCTCTGTACAGAAGGCAAACGACAGGATCTAGAAGATGTAGCACGCTAAGCTTTAATGCTATAAGGATTGCTGTAATCCTTGGAAGAGTAGAAACGTTGTAAACAGAAAAGAGCCCATTTCTCTTATGCAACTTCCCCTGGTTAAAAAATATGTTGATGTTTGCTGTTGTGTGCATCTTCATCAGAAGGGGCTGGGAGCAGGAGCACGTGCCTGCTTCCTTTTCCTGCCTTTGTCAACGTGAGATTCGTGAGAAAGCCCGTGCGAGGGCTTGGTGAGAACCCCTGGCGAGGTGCTTCCCCGCTGCCGGGGGAGTTCGTCTGGAGAAGTGCCCGGGCAGCGTGCAGACCCGCGTGCAGCAGCCCACCCAAACAAGGGCCTTTAAACGGGCAGCTTCTCGGAGGTGGCAAACTGCTAAAGCTCCTGACCTGTGATGCCGCCTCAGCTTTCAGATGAGTTTTACCTAGTGACTCTAGGAAGATAAATAGATTCAGAAATAGGTAACTAGGGTAAATCTAATCCTCAGCGTGACTGTGCCCTGAAAATGACTTAAAACATCAGCAGACTTATTCCTTTGGCACATTCAGAGCCAGGTTTGCTATTTTTAGCTGTAGAAGCTGCAAAAGGCTTTTACTCGCATTAACTCCTTGTTAGCTGCTGCATTTCCCAGGCACAGCATCAGCATGGCTCCCCAGTGCCTGCTGCCCTACCTGCAGCAGGCAGAGGGGCTTGCGGAGGTTTTGATGACCAACCCCTGTGGCTTTCGAGAGTCGCTTTAGCGGTTGGCACAGCCGGGAACGGAATGGACATGGCTGAGCTGAGGCTGGATTTGCAGGGATGTCAGGAGACTGCAGCCTGTTGTGCTGTGGGGATGCCATGCTGGGGGGGGTGCTGTCCTGCGGTCCCTTGGAATGCAGTCCTCATTCCTGGGGGCTTAGGTCTCTGCCCAGGCCCCGCAGCTGATGTTGGCCGAGCGGTGAGTGCCTGTCCACCGGATCAGCTGGCTCTGACCCAGCTACCGGAGGTGGCAGACTTGTAATTGCCCGTTTCCCTTCTCTTTGGCCTCAGTTGATTGTGGAACAGCAAGATGAGCAGTTGGAGCTGGTCTCTGGCAGTATCGGGGTGCTGAAGAACATGTCCCAGCGAATTGGCGGGGAGCTGGAGGAGCAAGCAGTGTAAGTGTGAGACGCGGCGCCAAAAACCCAGTATGGGGCCGGCCGCAACGCAGCTGGAGGTCCTCACACACATATCTCTGCCCCTGTTTGGGCTTTGAATTCACTGGTCCCTCAGGCAGTCTGTACTAGCCGGCCTTTGATTTTAGGCAGTGGACAGCATTTCTTACTGCAGCCTGCAAGGATC